ATTAATTGAATGGGATTATTAGACATTTTAGAGTCAGTTCCCACAAGAATCAACCTGCACAAAGCTGCTTACGTAATGAAAAGCAATAATATTTGAAAATTACGCAACACGTTTTGTCGATTATAAATTTAACAACAAGAATAATTTTATAAATTAAGCCTAAAGAAAAATCAAACGATTAAATACTTTATAATCCTGGCAAACAAAATTATCAATAGCGAGTGTTTTTTAGAACCATCTGGAATATATTAAGATTAAGTGGAAATGCAACATACTTGACGCGAAACAAAGAATCTTTTGTAAGGAAATTTAGTCATTTTACAATTACTAAAATCAATGCTTCGTTCCTTTCAAAGCAAAATTATATTCAAATTAAACACTTTTAAAATTGCGACCACACCTAAAGCTTTTTATATGAGCTAAGAAGAAGAACATTTAGGGTAGTTCTTCTCAGAACTATTGCACAAAAATTTGCTAATTAAGTGTATTCAATAATAAAAGTTAATTAACTGTTTAAAAGAACACGTGACAATCCGTGAAATCTATTGTATTACTCCCAGAAGATATCACTTTTGTGCCGTTTGGTTTGAGTAAACATGCTCGAACCAGTATTTTGAATGTAAAAGCTTTTGTCAAAGATCTGATGTGTTTAACTGATTAGAGCTCTTTTGCTAATAGAGTGATGTATACAACGTGATAACTGATAAGTTTGACTTTATGTGGACCCCGACTTGATGAAATAGCCATTCAGCCAATACTGAGCTTGATTCGGTTTGGGAAACTTTCGGAATTTGATTTAAAAACCTGTGATAAATTAAGTGTGTAAACTTACAAGTTCCAGTGTCTAAATAGTTACATTTAAGAGCAGACAGGTGACACGTTTTTATTTAAGAATGTATTCGTTCTTGCACAACTACTGAAACTTGGTGGCAGTTAGCTGGAGAGACGGAAAAAACAATTTAAAGTAAACCCACAAAGGTACAACGCACCGTATTTTAGATGAAGCAATGATTTAACATTATTGATATCCATACCTTATCACCAAACTTTCTTTCAAAAAAAAAGTTTTTCAACTCCGTTCGCATTATATATCGCAGCTGATACTCTAGCTCGTTTAAAATTGGAAATATAAATGTGTAATTTATTCGATGTTTGTTTAATTACAAGAAAAGAGCCGTAAAAACTGATTGTGGTAAATAATCTACCCGCCATTTGAGAGTCACAAACTGCCCAAAGTTGCTATGATGATAAATACGAGTTTCAAGAGCGCCAACCGAAGTCAGTTGCCTTCAAACCAGAAACTTCTGTGTGCGTCGATCATGTAAAATACTGAGTAATTTCAATTATAAAAAAAAAATTGCTTAGAAATTCAAACGTATATTTGTTCACAAACATAACAATCTTACTTCAAAACTTAAAATTTATAACAATCTCAAATATGCATAAATGTTACCTTCCTTGTGGAGAGAGCATGCGAAACGCGCTGATTCCGCAGGGTGTTGTTTATTCATTTAAACAGCGACTAAGACCGTGTTGAGTCTTCTAAAAACAAGCACTTGAACTAGGAATGGAAAATCATTGAAAAACTCGAAATTTGCAATTTTCTCTGAACAGATTTAAATTCACACTGTTGTAAAACCTAATCTTAGAGACAAATAACTGTTGTTCATTTATTATGCCCAAGTATTTTTGCGTCTAAAATACTTTAAAATCTAGAAGTCTAAAGTAATTAAGAAATCACAAGGTCATAACCCATCATCATAACAATTCATTTTCATATTCATTAATATTAATCTACAGGGTGCTTCACAACCTTATGGACACAGCGCAGGGGTGTGTAGAGGACTTCAAAACAAGTCGAGTTTTTATTTATTTTTTTTCTTAGGCTCATGGTTAATGAGATACAGGGTGATAAAGTTTGAAATTTTTTTTGTTATTTTCTTTTTAACCCCTACAACTTATGAGATATTTTGGTCAAATTCGTAACGTAGGCTAATGGTTAGAGTCTTTACCCGTAGGTAAGGCTACTTACTGGTTGTGAAAATCTACAGAGTGTTCTTTTTTACCCCCTTTTACCGCCCCTGAACTTTTTTCTGGTGCGCCACTGACTTCGCCCGAACCAATTTGTAAATTGTTGTTGAATTCAAGAATTTTACGATCTCTTGCAGTTTTTTCGTATTTGTCTTCGTTTTCGAGTTATTTGCACAAATCTCAGTCCATGTAGTGTTCCTGGGACGTTTTCCTTGAATTTTCTTATATTTTTTTGCGTCATTTTGTTCACATTTCCTTGTGAAAGAAATTAATTTCACAATAAATTGATTGAATAATCGTTACATTTTTGTGTATTTTTATTTGGATTAGCTTACAACCGATAAACCTCAATTACTGTAAATTAAATTAAAGTAAAAAAATTGAATTTTAAAGTTAACTCGTCAGCCATCCCTATTTTAACATCAATTTGCACTTGAAGCTTTCACAAAAAATATGAACACAAGCACGCAAAAAAAATATAAAAAAATTCTTGACATATTTGTGCAAATAACACGAAAAAACTGCAAAAGATCAGGAAATTCTTAAATTGAATAACAAATGCAAAAATGTGTTCAGTCGAAGTCAGTGGCGCGCCACACAAAAGTTCGGGGGGTAAAAGGGAGTATGCCTCTAGAAAAAACACCCTGTAGATTTTCACAACCGGGCGCCTTACGTGCGGGTAAAGGGTCTAAGCATTAGCCTACGTTAAAAATTTGACTAAAAATTTTTTTTTTTTTAACTTTGATACCTTGTGTCTTGTTAACCATGGGCCTGCGAAAAAAAATTTAATGGAAACTCGAGTTGCTTTGAGGTCATCTACGCGCCCCTGCTCTGTGTCCATAAAATTGTGAATCACCCTGTATAAACTCTGTACATATGTTCCTTAAAGAGGCATTCCTTTATTCTAAATAAAAAGATATTCACACAGTAAATACTAGACATAAAGCTAATTTTAGATTACTTTTCAATAGGTTGGAGTGTGGAAAGAAGTCGCCAGTAAATTTAGGTATACATATTTTTCATGTTCCACATCATTTAAGGGAAAGTATAAAATTTTATAAAATTTAAAAAATCACTTCTACGGTTTTTATTGGATTTTTGGTTTTTGTACTCGTACGAAATTCTTTAACAATGGGTGTCCTGATGTAATTAAAATGTAAATGCATATGTATTTTAGTTAACTAAGTTAGTGTCCTGTAAAACTGTACTGCGGCAATATTTAGTTGAAAACAAGACGACCTGACATAACTTTTATTGGGAGAAAAAGTCATGCTCCTCTGCTATTGATGCTCAAAGTTTGATAGATTTTAATGAAATTCGAACCGAATTTGTTTTAGTTTGGCGGTTTTATCAAAATGTAAGGAAATACAAATATTTTATTTGCGCAAAATCTTTGAATGATACAAGATTTTACAAACTGCACAAAATTGTCATGAAAAAAATTGCATCAACTCAAAAAACAACAGTTAATTCGAACCACCAAATAAAAAGTTCTGGTAGTTTTCCGCCAAAACACTCAAGAGCTCGGTTGCTTCATCAAAATATGAGTTTTACATAAGAACAAATTTACAGCGAGTTTCATTAAAATACATCGTATATTTCTCCCGACTTATCTAAAAACAATTTTTCTTTAAATAACTTTAGCCATTAATAGTTTACGAACATTTTTCCATTATAAGAATTAGGCCAAATCGTGTTCTTTTGACCCAAAGAATATCGCAGTACACGTTTATCATGCGCTTACAGGCCACTCTGTATATTCATTATATTCATTTATGTAATATTTTTACTTCTGCTAATTAAATCGAGTTTTTCTTCTGATCCTAAAGTTAAACAAACATTTAATTTTGTTCAACAGAAATAAAAGATATTATTTTTATTCAGTTTCCTTCCGATTTCTTTGCCGCTTCCTACGATTTTTTTGATCAGAAATGTTTCCTATTACATCAGGCTGAGGAAAGACTAAATGTTGATGACGTTATAGTGTCGTAAGTAAATGAACTTATCGATTATGCCTTTTAAGTTCGAATCTTGCTTTTGTTGATTGTGAGAGTGAATGTAAATTATACAACATGAATTGCAGGTGCGATGAAACAAATGGTTGCTAAGTTTCTAATACTCTTTTTTGCGTGTACCTCAGTTTTTGCGAAATTTGCTTTTCTGTATTTTGTTTTTCACCCTTCTCCAAGTGAGCCCAATACTCTCTTAAAACGAATTGTGGTAATCTTACATCATCACCCTGTATTAGTCTAGGCGTACTTCCAAGTAACATTCCAGTATTTGAATTTGTTATTGCAAACATTAATCCTAACGGTTTCGCGATCATAAAACCTGAATTGTCCTCAAATTTATTTATGCAACTTGTACCAAGTCTTCAGTTATAAATTTCGGTAATTACTAACAGCGCTAAATACGTTAAGACGCAACTCCTTCAGACTTTTATAGTAAAAATTCTGCAAATGCTTGCCCTCTACTTAAAGAGTTCAATTCTGTTACTGATTAAGACTTTGCTACTGATTAAGACATACAATTTCTTCGTTTAGTTCGATATTTAGCTTTTCTTAATTGGCCCTTTTTCTAGCACTGATTAGATATTTGGCTTTGCAAGCTGGTAATATCTCGGCAGGTGCCTGGAAGTATGAATATCCCTGGGTAGCAGCTTGAACATTTTCTGAACTTTCCAACAGCCGTGGCTGTCCAGGCTGTTCATAACCGGCGCTTTAATCCATTTAGATCTTGATATGTTAACGCTGATGATCAATAAACTGGGCTTAAGAGGAGCGCAATATAATCGTATTCATGGTCTAAGTACCATCATATTCATCGTAAGTTGTGCTTTGTTCATGTATTATCAAGTTGAAAGGTAGATTTTACAGCGAGCTTTAAACGATTATTTACCTTACGGGATTTAAGAAAAAAGCGATTGTGTGTATGGGAGAGAACTGTAGAAATCGCGCTGATCTGGCTAGTTGTTAGTAGGTGCTCGGTATTCGTGCTGGCCGTCGAAGAATGGTATCTGGAGGAACTCGCGGCCACGTAACAGCGCAAAGTTATTTATCTCGGGTGAACTGCGGTACAGTTTTGGCGCGTGAAGGTTCAGTGAATTTAAAAATTATTTTTGATTAGCTTTGTGCATGCCTGCAGAATAAGTGAACACACTATTATTACCATTAATGTGACCTTGTTGGATTGTTGGATTATTTACTGCCGCTTGAACTTGGTGGATTATCGACATTTATTCACAAAAGGGAGAATTTAAAATTTAAAGGTAAGTGGCATCGCACAGAAACTTAGCCGCCCATTCAAATCCTCAAACTTTTCAAATAATCTTAAATCGCTCACGGATCAGCCACATGCTCAAAGCACAAAAGTAAGCAGAAATAGACGTTCAGACTATGATTTAATTTCAAGGCTTGAGGTGTTGAACTAAACTTCTAAAAAGTCGAAGTTGGAAATTTACATAATTCGGCGTCGAAAGAAATGGAGGCGCTTATTATTCACGGAGAGGCTTTTAGGCCCAAATTAGGCATCCTAAGGTGAATAGTTGAATATCTGATTGCTAGACACACTCATTGAACTGTGGATTCTTTTCAGCCATAGCAAATCAGTTGAAAACTCGTTTAGCATTTTAAATGGATTTAAGAAGAAAAAAAACGTCTTGGAATAAAGTGATTGAACGAAATTCGAATGCTTCAATGGGGTTTTATTTTCCAAAGGTACCACTTGATGTTTTAAATCATTCTTTGAAAATGGAAACTTTTCAAGTTTTAAAACATATAGTTCTATGAAAGTCGACAGTTTTCCGGAAATTTTTGGCCGTTGTGAGAAGGGTTTTTCTCAAAAAAATATTCTCCACGGAGGCTTAAAAATCATCAGTTTCAAGCAGTGGTTGTCAAAGTCTCTTCTGAAGCAGGCTTTTCTTCATTTGGATCCTTTCTTATAATATTAAAAAACATTAATAAAAATTAACCAAACATCACAATGAATTGCATATATCTGCCTTAAGTATTGGTCAAAGTTTTGGAAGAAATGTATCAGTGTGCAATTTCGTTCTTAAGATCGCAGAATAACTTTAACAGAAGCTGCTGTTTCATTTATAAGTTCTGTGTTTTGTGTGAATACATTTATTTTAAGAAAAAGCTAATTGTATGCAATTTGTTAATGTTTCCTTTCGGTTGTTGATCGAAACTTTCAATTACAAATGTGTAAAAAATGCCCTAATTTATTTTGCAAGCCACAGTATTACTTTAACGATCTAAATCAATATTTTTCCAATTTGTGCTTATGAGATTCAGTTTTTATTTATATTTACAGATTTTTTTAATTCCAAATTTCACAGAAAAGTTGCATTTAATGGTCAATGAGATTTAGCTTGCAATTCATACCGGAGATTTGCAAATATTACTGTTATTAATTCAGCTGAGAAACTCCTATTTCTGCGTTACAATTTCATTTACAAGGCACTTTTTGCGGCTGTTTGACTTAACATCACGTAAAACGAAGTTAAATCCCGACCGATTTTTAAAATTTTCATGAATATTTCTATTCATTATGACAAATGCATTTGTGAAAATTTATTGGCAACTTCGTACCCACAAACTTTTAACGGAAAGTTGTGAAATAGCATGAAAATAATTGTTGCTTTGCATGGAAGGACGTGAAACCATGTATTTAGAAAAGTTTTCCTGTTTTTGCACAATTTCGTTAACTATAAATTACATGAATGTCCACCTTATCTACTTGCATTTCCCACAAATCCTCAATATTTACAAAACACCTTTTTTACTTCTAAATTTATTTGCAACTTGGTCCTTGAAATCCACAATAGTGCACAAGTAGAACTTCTGGTTTGTTTGTAAGAAATTTGCAAAAATGTAAATTGAGTTATTGCGTATTTGTACTTAAACCTTTCAGAACGTTCTCATTTTCATTTGAAAAAATTTCATATAAAGTATTATTCAAAAACTAAGCTTAGAGATGAACTTAGCAAATCTTCGGTTGTTTAAATTACAAACAACATAACAAGCATTTACCTTTAGTAAGATTTTTTATCCATTGCAGTTTTTAATTACAGGTCTACATAACAGACATTTGCCTTTAGTTAGATTGAAAGGCCAATCCGTTTCCGGTAGTTCTCTTTAAAGATTTTCCCATGACTACGCACAAAATTCCTATTCAATCATCCATTGCTAAAACTAGATTAGCATCTAATTGCAAAATTGCAACTATTCGATCATTATGTGAAAAGTAAATATCATGCGGGTAACTGTAATATCCAAATGGTTTGATGAGTAATTGATTTAATTTATATTTTACATCGGAACGAATCACTGCTAGGCATTTGGAATTTTTATCTGCAATTGCACTAGTTTTTTTTCATTTTTAGGTCAGTTTGCTCTATATGTAGTCGAAAACAAGGGCGCTCTGCTTTGTTATGCTAACTGCCTAATCCGATTTTGTAATTAAGCGGATTTAAAAACATTCGCTAAATTGCTTTGTGCATGCATGCGGAATAGAATAAGTGGATAGCATCCGGATAATTAGAACGGCCTTGTTGGATATTTCCTTTTTATTTCGTTGAATGAAATGCGGGTGGCTGTTTTAAATATCATTTTGCATCATTAATATTTGTTTTCACGCAAAACGAGTGATGTTGAGTTTGAAGTTTATCCTGTTTTATAAAGTTTATGATTGGCAAAGTTTAAAGTTTTTCGTGAGTTTGTCGGTCAGCATCTAAACTTATTTCAGTTATCAGGTACTTATATCTTGAGGTAATAAATATTACTATACGTTTCTGCTAAAATTTTCTGCTAATTCACCTTTTAGTGCTAAAAATGGCGCAAGATTAGATTTTCTGTTGGATAATTAACAAATAAGACACTGAAAAACGTAAGGTGTTGCACTCAACTCATTAAACTATTTTTTAATAAGTAAAATTAAGTAGGTCCCGAGAAAGCCAAGTTTCCTGGTACTCGAAACATCCATTTATAAACTGTTACTTTAATTATCAGTGTTGGTGTTAAGATTCTTTCTCCAAACGTATACGAAACAATTCATCTTTTGTTTGGCAGTAAATCCTGAAACCCCACTAACCGTAAACCTAAATCTCCTTTTTTCAAGAAATTATGCAAATGCGAAACATGCAAATAATACTCGTTTAGCGAATAGCTTCCGTATTCACAGAGCGCGTGTGACTAAAAATTCGTAAAAATAACCAGATCTGCGGGATGTTGAAGCATTAAAATTCCTTTATTTCTAATTTCTGCAGGTTTTTAGATATTTATCTTTATTTGTTCAGTTTTTTATTGTGTGTATATTGATCAGTCTGTTTTATTTACATCTACATGGAAATAGGTTTTAAAAAGTAATTATTTTTTTGCCTCTTACTGTTCTTAATTGAATGAAGAAAGGATGCGTCTCGTTAATTTACGAAATTACAGCAAACCGTTGCATATTTTATTTCGATTTCTATGTTTTAATTTTTTGCTCGATAATGATCATGGGGTCTTCAAAATAAGTTCACATGAATTTTGGAAAACAATAATAACCTAAATGATAAATTTGAGCTTTAATATCGAAATAATGTATATACATAAATAATACAAATTAGCAACAACATAAGCCGTTTGCAGATTATACTTGGCAACATCTTGTATTATTCTGGTAGAAATTTCCATATATTTAATGATATTATCTCATGGGATTTAAATGTAAATCCGTAGAGACATAAACATCCTTGAACAACATCAAATATATCATTCCGCTAATTCGACAAGCCAACCACTAATTATATAATCAAATAAAATCAGTTCCGAAATAACACTTTTCTCACCGCTACCAGTACCGCTACTTCCAGATGATGCGTTTACAAATATTTGACTGGAACTTATTAATTCATGATGGTTACTGTTATAAAATGGAAAGGTCAGTTCTACCATCGGGTATCGAATCGTATACGATTTGAATATTTTAGTAAATATTTTGTATACAAAAAAATAATTGCCAATTTGCTTAAATACCTTCCTACGCTATTAAATAGCTAGTTGTTGAAGGATTTATTCTTCAGAATGCGATCTTTTTGATAGGAACCAAATGTTTAGGAGATTGTTTTGTTAGCAATAATTGCATTAATATTTATTTCTTATATAAAATATCACTTATGTTTCTACTTCCGAAAAATCCGCAATTTTTGTTCAGGCAATTAGTCAGAACGTAATCGAAATAAAAAAACTTGTATCTCTAATGCCTCTTAATTTGGTTAAATCTGCTTTTCGATTGTTCTAGTAGATTTCTGATGATTTTACTGTCTCTTTTTTAATACATTTATTATAACGTCATTATTGGTTTGGTTTTTGTTGATTGTTTGAAATTTGGTACTCTCATCTTAAGTTCTTGCCATAAGACGTACTTTTGGTCCTATAGTTTAATGTATATATCCAGCATTATATTTTTTTCTCGATTCTCCATTCTGTAACATTTCTGTTGGTCTTTAATTAGGTATAACTTGATTATTTGCTGTTTTATCCTTTTATATTGTTTAATTTAGTTGGTCCAGTTGTATCGATTTGTTTTTCTACAAGCTTACCTTCTGGTTCCTTCCTTTCTTAGAGTTCCTGAAAATGTTGTTTCTAATTTTTTAACAATTTGTCTTTTCTTGCTATTAAATTTGCCTTTTTCTCTTAGATGTGCATCGTTTTTTGCTGCACAAATATTTATGTGCTGCTTGAAACTATTCACTTTTGAGATACGTATACAGTTCAGATGCATTGTCCTAACGTTTTGCTGAACCTCTGAAGATGAAAGACATTCATGTTTACGAAACGTTAGAAATAATTTACATTATAGACCGGCTTATAAAATGGAACATTTATTAATTTTTGCAACAATCCTCCACTGTGAAATGTTCATAATTTTTATAATTAATACTGTAAATTATTTAAATCAAACTTACAACTTTCTCGTTTAAAATTGCCGATATACTATTCAATAAGGACCGTAGCATATGGGTCACCATATGGAGAATGATACAGTAAACCGTAACTGGTTTCGGATTTATTTATTTGAAATAACGCTAACAAAAGCGGTACGAAAAGCACATGTCGACGATCTGAACTGAAGCTGAGTTTTGCATTTAAATACCAATTTAAAATGTTTCCGGTAAATACAAGTTTGCAAACGCCTCTTTATCGAGTTACAGAAAGTTGAAATGATTATTTTGTTTTCGTCTTGTATTTTATACTAGTTTTGGTTGGCCGTGATTGAAAACGA